TCTGTGCCTCAGTTTTCTCATCTGTGAAGTGGGGATAATCCTGTCCCGTTCCAGTGGTGGTTGGGAGGCTTCAGGACATACCGCATGTTCTAAACACAGTACCTTGCCCGTACAGCAGCTCTTCCTGCTATGATCCATGGCTCAGACTGCAGTCCCCACCCCACCCAGGGAGTGGGTCTCAGCCAACATCAGCTAGATTTGGAGTACCACCTGGATATGGAAATGTTGTCCCACTCTCCTGGGCATCAGAACTCTTGTTTCTGTGATCCATTGTCTTTTAAGAAAACAACAACAGTTGAAACACTGGGGATTTTCCCCAATAGAGAGAAAACACAGGGAGGGGAGAAGCTAACGAAGAGAACGAGCAGAGTGTAGGCGCCCTGAAGAGAGGGAAAAGCACCAGAAGTTCACCCCAGGACTGCTTCTTGCCGCCCAGCCTCCAGCCCCTGCCCACCCAGCTGACATGTCTACCAGTGCTCACAGCCCCCTCGGGCCTGAGCCTGGGGACCCCTGCTCCTTCCCACCATCTGAACCCCCTTCCTGGGGCCCACCTCTAGCCATCTGCCTTGCGTCTGTCATCTCAGAGGAAGACATTCAGAAAAGGACACGTCTTTAAGAAACGGGGACCCCACGTTAAACGGGGAACCCTCAGATAGATATGGCTTTGAAACTGTTCATTTCATTATCACATGTGTGATAGGGAATCTTGCCCTACGTAAAGGTCAGAAAGCCATGTGCCTGTCTTAGCTCAGGGAGATTACAGGGGCCGGCGGGGGTGGGGGGTTGGATGGGGGTAGCTCGGGTGACCACTTGCACAGAGCAGGTGCTATGCTGCCACTAGAATTATCTTTCTAACACACTTCCCATCACAGTCCTCTGAAGCTGCAACATCTTTGAGTTTCCTCCTTAAATACAAACATCTTAACGTGGCATTCAAGGCTCTTCCCAATCTGGCCCTGATCTCTGACCCCATCAGACGCCCACCAGCCCCAGAACATAACCTCATAACATGACCTCATAACAAAGTCAACCTGGGGTTCTCTTTCCTTTTACTCTCAAGACCTAGTTCTACACGACCTAAGTATTGGTGAAGAGGCGGAGAAGTTGGTGGGAATGGAGACGGGTCCAGCCACTATGGAAAACCATGTGGAAAATTCCCCCCACCCCCAAAATTAAAATGAGAAAGACCGTGTGATTCAGTCTCATTCCCAGATGTGTATAGACCCGAAAGAGCTGAAATCGGGATCTCGAAGAGAGATGTGCACTCCATGTTCATCACAGCATGATTCACGACCACAAAAACTGGCAAACAAGCTGAACGTCCATCCGCACGATGGAGAATTACTCTTCAGAAGAAGGGATTCCTGCCACGTGCTGCAGCCTGGATGAACTCGGAGGACATGATGCCGAACGCAATGAGCCAGATGCGGAAGAACTACATGGTCCCACTTACATCAGGAATGGAAACTAGTCGAACTCACACAAGCAGAGAGTAGAACCACGGCTGCCAGGGCTGCGGGATGTCGGTCGGAGGACACAGTTTTCACTTAGGCCAGTGGAGTATTAGAGATCTGCTACACAGCCCTGTGCCTTGAATTAGCAATATTGTATCACGTGCTTAATCATTGTGTTAGGAGGGTAGATTTTATGTTAAAAATGTCCTTACCACCAAACAAAACAGAACAAAAAACCACCTCTCCTAAGCTGCTCTCCAGAACCCCACAAACTTGCTCCCCAGGTTTACCATAGACTTTGATCATCTCGCTCAATACATGGTTTGTCTCTCAGCTCGGAAAAATCACGGTGCTCCAGGGGCTCTGGCGCCAGTCAGGCCGGCCTCACTAGCCAAGGGGTGGAAACCATGAGCCCCAGTTTCTCCATACATTCCATAGGGATAATAATGCTCCCTTTCCCGTAGGGTTGTTCTGGGTACTAAATGTCTAATTTGTATAAAGCATCTAGTCTTAAAGGTCCAGTGAACGTTAACTGTTGTCATTGTACAACGTTTGTACTTGGTTGTTTGCAAGCTTGCTTCCCCAGCTAGGCTGTGAGCTACTTCGGGTAAATTTCTGTATTTATCTCCATCTTCCTGCTAATGCTGCCAGGCAGTGAGTACATGCATTGCATTGCATTGAATTGAATTGAATTGATTGAATTGTAGTGAACTGAGCTGAGTTGAAGTCCCACCAGATGGCAGTAGCTCCCAGCCCCAAAATTCTTCACGAGCCCTACTCCAAGGCTGGACAGGCTAAAAAGAATTCTCCATTTATGGACGAGAAGCAGTAGATGGAGCTGAGGTTGTTCCCAGTCTCCTGACCCCAAGAAGCCGCTTGTTTTGGTTCCTTGACCACAGATGTGAGCCAGATAGGAGCTTGGGAAAGCCAGGAGCTGAGGTCTCCCTTCCCACCCTGGCAACAAAGAGTTCACCCTGAGTCTCCGGGGACGGAGCACCCTGAGGTGTTTCAAAGGAAGGCAGATCACCGGAAGGAGGGGACAGAAACCAACTGTACCAACTCTTCTCATGGAAGGCAAGTTGGTGAACCAAGAACAAGGAATTCCGATAAGAGACCAGGAGACAAAGAACGAATCATTGACCTGTATGCATTCCTTCAATGAATCAGTGAATTCATTCATTCAATAATCCAGCCATTATTGAGGAGGAAGGGGAGGAGGAAGAGGAGAACAGCCCATGAGGAGTCAGTGGGACCAGAGCCTCTTCCTGGCCATCAAGGAGACATTGTGACTGTGGGATGTTTTGTGCAGTCACAAGTGCATTCTGTGTCCCCATCCTAATTGGACCATGCTCTAGCTCAAGGTCACAGACTGAAATTTACTAAGGGAGAAAACTATCAAGAATGTTTAATTAAAATTTCTTTCTGTACTTGGCTGAGTAAGCCCCGGTTGGAATCCCCAACATTACCATTCCCTGCTGCCCATCTCTTTTGTTTGCCAAAATTCAATCGGGCTAGTACAGGTCAGTCACTGAACTGATTCTTTACTATGATGAATAATTAACACACCCACTTCTGCCCCCAAGGCCCAAAAGCTCCCTTCTCTACTGATTTATTCTTTCCTTAATGGGGAGTAAATTTTTATAGAATACTTCACCTGAGTTCTTTCCCCAGTAAGAAACATCACCTGCTTGGATTTCAAATTTTTTTTTAAAGATTTTATTTATTTATTTGACAGACAGAGATTACAAGTAGGCAGAGAGGCAGTCAGAGAGAGGAGGAAGCAGGCTCCCCGCCGAGCAGAGAGCCCAATGTGGGGCTCGATCCCAGGACCCTGGGATCATGACCCGAGCTAAAGGCAGAGGCTTTAACCCACTGAGCCACCCAGGCGCCCCTGGATTTCAAATTTTAAAGTAAGTAGCCTTCTGTTTCCCAAAGTCTGTGTTTTTCACAGTTCAAGTGGAAGGGTAAATATCTCACATCCTTGTCTTTGGCGCTTTTTTAAAGATTTTATTTATTTATTAGCGAGAGAGAGAGAGAGAGAGAGAGAAAGAGCCCAAGTGGGGGGAGAGGCAGAGTGAGAGGGAGAAGCAGACTCCCTGCTGAGCAGGGAGCCCAACACAGGACTCATTCCCAGACCCTGGGGTCATGAAATGAGCTGAAGGCAGATGCTTAACTGACTGAGTCACCCAGGTTCCCCTTGTCCTTGGTGTTTTTGGTTTTTTTTTTTAAGATTTTATTTATCCACTTGACAGACAGAAATCACAAGTAGGCAGAGAGGCAGGCAGAGAGAGCGGGGGAAGCAGGCTCCCTGCTGAGCAGAGAGCCCGATGCAGGACTTGATCCCAGGTCCCTGAGACCATGACCCTAGCCAAAGGCAGAGGCTTAACCCGCTGAGCCACCCAGGCGCCCTGTCCTTGGTTTTAAAAGACAGTCTTTGTGTCAGAAGACAGTCGTCGTTGGCATCATCTCCCATCCAGACCACGGTTGCCGTGCTCTTCTCTGAAGGGCCATTTGCTGCAGGATCCGTGCCTGTGCCCCTGGTTCGCAAGCCTTAGCGGGCCCCAGAGTCACCTGGAGGGCTTGTGGAAGCACAGACTGCCAACCCCCGCCCCCCGCATTCCTCACAAGTTCCCAGGTGACGCTGATGCTGCTGGTGCGGGAACCGCACTTGGGAGAACCGCCGGTCAGAAAGGCCTAGGACTCCTTCAACGTTCATTTCTGCTGCATAGATTGTAAAACTCAGGACAGAGGGCCAAAAAGAGACCGGCTTTTACTGAGCTAACTGGTAAGACGGTGCGTGTTTCTATTAATTGAAACAGTGCACTAGCGATGCCTCTATTCAGATTCTCTGGATCTGAAGGTTAGTTCAGGAAACGTCGCACTCACGGACTGGGGGGAGGCTGCGATTCTTCCATGCGCAGGTGTATTTGCGATTGAGTTGGGACGGTTTCCTGACTTCCAGAACATCCAGCAGATCCTCGCTGGGACTCTGCAAACCTCAGACTTGCGCAGGGATTGGCTGCTGAAGAAGGGAAATGCGTCGTTATAGGCTATGGAACTCTCTCTCTTCTTTTTTTTTTTTTTTTAATAAAGAATTCTGAAGAAGACAGTAAGAATGAGGTACAACATGGAACCATAATTTACCAGGAGGGGCCCTTGTTCAATATGTGTAAGAGGGAAAAGAGAAGGAGAAAGATCAATCAGAAGCCAGTGAATGTGGATGGTTTCAGCAATACCGTGGGTGTTGGGAAGGTCTTTGTAAGTGTGCGTTTTACTGTAACAAATAGTGTCGCGCGTTTTATTGTAACAAATAGAGTCCTATTCTCCTCACCCCACACGTTCTCTAGTAACATGGAGGTTTGTTTGCAGCAAAGTCTCCAGCCTTCAGCCTTATCGAGTCGTTAATATTTCATCTGAGAGAATAAAACATCTTAAACTGAAACCTGGAGTGAGAGTTGGACATTGGCGTTCAAAGACGAGACTATGTTACAGCCGGAATACAGTGAGTGGGAGAAAACTTTCATTCTCTCTTTTTTTATCTTTTAGAAACAGGGAAGATCGACCAAGAGATTCACAAATACAACACCCCGGGATTCACTGGGTGCCTCTCCAGGGTCCAGTTCAACCAGATTGCGCCTCTCAAGGCGGCCTTGAGGCAGACGAACGCCTCAGCCCACGTGCACATCCAGGGCGAGCTGGTGGAGTCCAACTGCGGAGCCTCCCCGCTGACCCTCTCCCCCATGTCGTCCGCCACCGACCCCTGGCACCTAGATCACTTGGATTCAGGTAAGGCCGTGTTGGCCAGGTTCCTTTATTTCTTTAAACCTCAGTTTCATCATCTGTAGAATGGGCTTAGCAACAGGACGGGTAAGGGTGTTAGGCTTTTGGAGGACTAAGGACAAGAGGGAACGTGTGAGCCCAGGAGTGCTCAGCACGTACCACACGCTCAAAAGTTAAAACCCTTCAGCCTGGCTCGGAGCCAGAAGGACGTAAGGCAAAGGTAAGGAACATGGAAACCTCTGACTCTTCCTCATTTAAGCAAAATTAGGAGATGCCTAAATGGACGTCTGTGATGTGACTTTGGGACAACCTAGACCGTCACTTGTTCGCTGTTGCCCTTATGACACTTGCTGCAGCCCTACATCCCAGGTCTACTGTCAGGGGAAAGGTCTTTTTGTTTGTTGGTTTGTTTTTTTAAGATTTAATTACTTATTTGAGGGGGAGAGGATGGGCAGAGGGAGAGGAAGAGAGAGACCTAAGCCAGCTCTGCGGTAAGCACAGAGTCCTGTGTGAGTCTCAATCTTACAATCCCAAGATCAGAACCTGAGCTGAAACCAAGACTCGGATGCTAAACCGACTGAGGCACCCAAGCGCCCCAGGAAAGATGTACCCAAAGCAACGCAGAGCTCCTTCTCCCCGCCCTGTATGTACGTGAATAATGCCATAGGCTTCCAGATTCTCCGAGGTGCATTTAAGCTTACAGGACTCTGGGGAGTCAGTCTCTCCGGCAGGTGGTAAGACATGTGATTGGAAAGCACAGGCCTACAATGAAAGGCTGAGACTCTTGGCTACAAAATTAACTGGGAGCAGGTCAGCGTGCCCATGACGTGACAGAGAGCCAGCCTGACCTTGGGCCAGTTGGGGGACCTCTCCGAGCCTCTGCGTTATCACCCCTAAGGTGGAGGGGAGGGTGTGATCTCTACATAGCCTCTAAGTCTAACAGTCCATGCGTCTCCCTGTGATGTTGCTAACGCCGACCCCAGGAGGAGGACAGCTGAGGGTCTACCTTCAGCTCAGGTCTTGATCTCAGGGTCCTGGGATCGAGTCCCGCATTGGGCTCCTTGTTCAGCAGGGAACCTGCTTCCTTCTCTCCCTCCGCCGCTTCCCCTGCTCATGCGCATACTCTCTCTCTGAAATAGATAAAATCTTTTTCTTAAAGGGGACAAGAAGACCCAGTTCCCAGAATTCTATGTGGGATGATGTACTAAAGGCCGTCAGCCTGGTTATAGGCAGGTAGCAAGCTTTGAAAAAGTTCAGCAGCAGTAATATTAGCAGCACAGTTATTATGATGTTAGATGCGATGCCGTGTCGCTTCAATGTCCGGTCAAGGTCCCAAGTTCTCCCCCAGCCTAGCTTCTGACTCATCACAGTGCACCATGAGACCATCGTGCATCTGGTTGCCTTCCACAAACGGCAGCCTGTCCTCAGAGCTGATCAGCTCTGGGACAGCGCTGGTCATTGTGACTGCTTGCCAGGATTTGTGCTACAAAGCTTTACAAAAGCTTCAAGAGAACCAAAATTGCCCCATTGTCAGAAGAGCCAATTTACAGACTAAACAGTCCTCTTTGTTCCTCACACATGCATTCCTAGAACATGATGAGGGCTGCTGTGTGCCAAGCGTACTTAGAAAGAATTCTCTTTCGTGAGTGTTGTTAGGATTACACAGTGGGCTGGCTTCTCCGCATGGGCTGCCTTGAACAAAGGAAAGTGTTCCTGATGCCGAAAGTAGAAAAGTAGGAGGGAAGATGGAAGCTGAGAAGAGACACATGTCAGGGCTACAAAGGAACAGATGAATTCCTCCAGAGGCCAGAGTGGGCCAAGACAACCCGCCATCTTTGAGAAGCGGAAGTTCTTACGCCGTTCCACGTACTCCCTGTGTGAGGCCGAGAGCGTGTGTGGTCTCCGGCGGCTGCCAGGAAACCAGTTTCAAAAGCCTGTAGATGCTACTCTGGGCCAATGCATGTTCACACCCACTGGGCCTTAATTAGCAAAGTATTTGCTTTATGGTCTGAGAGAGACAGTTGCAGGGCTAGACTTCTGGGTTCATTTTTTTTTTTTTTTAATCATGCTTTACACGGGACAGCTTCATTCTTGTGACTGATAGAGTGAAAATGTACGTAGGGAACATTTCTGTGATTATTCAGTGTTTTGTTTTGTTTTTTAAGATTTTATTTATATATTTGAGAGAGACCATGAGTGCAGGGGAAGGGGCAGAGGGAGAGGGAGAAGCAGACTCCCCGCTGAGCAGGGAGCAAGAGGCGGGGCTCGATCCCAGGACCCTGAGATCATGACCTGAGCCAAAGGCAAGATGCTTAACCCACTGAGCCGCCCAGGTGCCCTTCAATGTTTAAATCAAATATCTGTACCCCAGATACTATGGTTGCACTGTCCCCATAAGATCCATTTGCAGAGAATTGACACTTGATTTGGGGAGGGGTCAACCTGGGGTTGACCAGCTGCTGCATCCACCTCCTCTCCAGCCATTTCCATATGGGGGGAATGCTTATAAAGGAGTATGTGTGTCTGCCTCATGAACTTTAATAAAGGGACAGAAAACAGCTTATGAACTATGAGGCAGAAAGCTTATTTAGATAACATGATTGGATTTTTTTTTCTTTTAAGAAAATGAGAGAGAATGGGGGTGGAGGGCTGAACAGGGAACAGAGACAGACCGAGATAAGGGAAGGTTACTTAATAGTGTCGGGGAGAAAGAACCTTTCCTCTATTCTCTTATGTTCCTCTTCCGGAGGCCTGCAAATTAAACTGATAAAATGCAAGGGCACCTGGGTGGCTCAGTTGTTTAAGCATCTGACTCCACTTTCGGCTCAGGTCATGATCTCAGGGTCATGAGATTGAGCCCCAAGTCAGGCTCCACACCCAGCTTGGGATTCTGTCTCCCTCTGTCTCACCTTCTGCCCTTCCCCCATCTAAAAAAAAAAAAAAAAAAAAAAAAAAAAACCCTGATAAAAGGCAGATGAAGAGGAAAAAAAAATATTCCTATGCATACAGGAGCTTATAGGAGAAGTAGCTCAATAAATGGTTAGATACTTAAATGCCTTATGTAATAGAGAAAAGGGAATGAGGAGAAAGGGCCTGTATGGCAGGAACAGAGGTTTTAGAAGGAAAAAAAAAAAAAAAAAGCCAGGAGCTAAGCGAGTGTGTGATAATGCTTGTTCATGCATCTGTGAATGGTCTTTGTCTTCAAGGCCATAGAAGTTTCCTGGAGAGAGCTTACGCTCTTGGTATGCTTACGCTCCATCTCCTTCCTGGGAGGAACAGTGCCCAGAAGAGGGAACGGCAGTCTCATTTCCCCAGGTTTCCGCTTTCAGTCAGCCAAAAGGAAGTTCCAAAAAGATTTCTTTCTGCATCCCTTGAACCCAGATGTCCTCAGCTTAAAATCGTCTTCGTACCAGCTCTGGGGTTCTAAGCAGACCCCCACAGGAGCAAGTGCACTCGACTCTTGGGGAGCCCTTGCCTTTTTCAGATAATCTTTCATGTGGAGAGAGACCAAGAATCTTCGCCATCAGACATTCAGAAACAAAACAACAGGACACACACACACATCCCATCAGGGCCTGTGAGTCATGTTTCCTGCGGCTGAGTAGGGATCAGACAGGACAGGAACGAGGTGAGCACTGATGAGTCCTGCTTTGAGAAAAGGACAGTTAGAAGGAGATCGATGGATCAGGTGCCTTGGAAAGTGTGGTTCTGGAAGCTTGTCTGAAAGGCAGAACCTCGGGCCCCTACCTCCGCCGCAGCGAACCAGCATCCACATTGTAGCAAGATCCGCAGGTGACTTACATGCACTTTAAAGTTGGAAACCCCAATCGAAGGCAGTAGGTCTCGATCTCAGATCACCTTTGAATTACCAGGTCAGCTTAGAAAAATCCTGATGCCTAAGCTACACTCCTGACCGATGAAGGCACAGCCCCCAGACGGGAGAAGCAAGTGTTCATAGATGTCATCCCTGCCCAGATGATTCTGGTGTGTAGTCAAGACTGAGAATCACTCATCAGATAAGACAGAAGCTTCTTAACAGCCCCCTTGGTAAGCCCTTGAAGTAAGGTTACCAGAAGATAAGAAAATTAAATAGCCAAATAACACAAAAAACAAAAACGACAACCACAAAAAAACCATTTTGCCTTTTGATGGCAAAATCACAAATTAAAAGGCTGTAGCAGTAGGCTTACGAAAGGTTGGGCTCCCCTGACCACTTATTCTGTTAGGAAGCTCACCCAGATAGAGAAGTTTTATCTAAACTTGAGCCAGTCTGCCTGCTTAAAACTAGAAAAACAGACCAAAAACAAACAAACACGAAATCCACATTGTGGGGCCAGACTCGGGGGCTCTCAGGAAAGGGCATCCTTATAGAAGTGGTTGCACCCAGGAAGGAGCCTCTGTTTGCGGAGCATGTCAGATTGTTCTCCCATTTTTTGAATGAGCTGCAAACTTAATTTGAAAGGATCTCGGAGTGGGGTGGGGAAGATAAAGCTTTAAAATGGAAGGAAGTGTATTTATGAAGAATGGGGAGTCCTGTGGCCTTAGTAGTAAAAGGACCTTAGTGATGGACTAGGGCTACTCACTTCATACTCACACCAGGACATTTGCTTTGCAGAGACCTGGAAATTAAGATTCAAGGCAGCCACTCTTGGGTCTTGTGTTCTTTTTGTTCTCTCACATTTCTTCCTTTTATATTAGATGATATCAAAGGATAAAGACAAAAAGTGTGTTCCAAGGTATGCTGGCTTCGAGGGATCAGATCCTTTTTCTTTTCCATGACACTACTAACTAAGCTACTCTTTACCTCTATAAAGCCTTATGGGCTCTGTCACTGTTTCCCAAAGTGAGAGACATTTACAGTTGGTCAGGCTGTGCACTGCCTAACTCTAAGGGATGCCATTTGCATTGCAGTGTATGGCTTCTGGACTACTGCAACATAGTGGCCTTGATAGGGAGTCACCAGATCATTATGGGAAGAAAATAGACATGGTGTTACATAATATAAA